AGATCTTGTCTATTTCCTCTTCCTAGGGGGATCTATGTGTGTTTTTCTCTTAAACTTTTCCTTGTTTCTTAGTGCTGATTATCCTTTGCCTTATATCTAACATCCACTTATGAGTGGTACATACCATGTTTGTCTCTTTAGGTCTGTGTTATCTTACTCAGGATGATTGCTTCTACTTCCATCAATTTGCCTCCAAGTTTCAAGCTGTCATTTCTTTTTAACCACTGAGTAGTATATACTCCATTGTGTAAATGTACCACATTTTCTTTATACAGTCTTCAGCTGAGGGGCACCTAAGTTGTTTCCAGGTACTGGCTATTATAAATAATGCTGCTATGAACATAGTTGAGCAAAGTCCTTGTTATATGAATGTGTATCCTTTGGGAATATGCCCAACAGTGTTATTGCTGGGTCTTAATGTAGAATGATTCTCAGTTTTCTGAGAAATCACCTTACTGATTTCCAAAGTGGCTATACAAGTTTGCATTCCCACCAGAAATGGAGGACTATTTTTTTTAGTCCACATCCTATAAGCTGTTATGAATGTTTTCATATTAGCCATTCTGATAGGAGTAAAATAGTATCTGAGTTGTTTTGATTTGCATTTCTCTTTATCTGTTAACTTATATATTTCTAAATAAAATTATGACAATTAAAGTGACATTTGGGGGACAGCATTGGTACAGTGTGGTGACCCAGGGTAAAAGTCTTAAGAACAGTCTTCCCTTCTATGTATTCTATTAGGAGCAAAACCACAGAAGCTTAGAAAGATGGGGGCTGCTTTTATTTCATCAATATATATTTAGCATAATGACCTCATTTAAGGGTAAATTGTAAGTATTTGGCCTGTAAAATCTGTATTTCCACACAGCTTTATGTTGATTTTAGAGCAAAATATCTAGTTTCCTATAAGGATAAAAAAAATAATACCTATAAATTAACTCATGAATAATCACTGCTTTCAGAAACACTGTCTGGATTTTTTTTCCCAACTCTGAATCTCTATCAAAACATCACCCCCTCAGAACACACTGCACCTGAACCGCTAGCACTTCCTCACGTGTCCAAGCTGCTCTGTGGTGAGGGAGAGCATCTCTGAATTTAAGAAGCTCCACGTGAGATTAATTTAGGTACTAAAGGTTGGAAAGTATACATATAACCTATAAGCATTCATCAATCTCTGAATTTGTCAGTCCAACATATCACCAGTGTGGTACCATCAATATTGAAGAAGAAAACTGGGAAGACAGAGACGCGGTCTCTTACCTCTCAAAGCTCCCACCAAGGTGAGTGAGCTTGGATGCTTACGGAAGGCCTGCCCCAGGTCTCGAAACTGCACTCCATTCAGCTTGACCAAGCTGGGCTCCTCTGGGAAGGACTGAATGATTACTCTGGCACCCAGATCCCTGGCTCCCAGCATTTTCTCACTCTTATAATACAAACAGTGCTTTGGGTTACCTGAAACACATAATGATGTTCAGGGGAGACTTCTAAGAATGCTTCTAGACAAATCTCTGTGTGCAAGGTTCTATGGCTACACAGGACAAACCATCCAACTGTCTTCTTCCACTGTTTGTGATTTCTTCCTCTGGATTATTTAAATAGATCAAATAACTAAAATATGACATTACCCCTTGCTCTCTTATATCTGGAGATGCTCCCCTCTCCATGCCCCACCCACGCAGACATAACCACCTTAATTCCTATCAGAAAGGGGCAGATTACAACCCCCAAACCAAATACACTGGTTTTGATTTAAATGCAAAAGATAACCTGTAGGAAAGGTGAAATAAAATGGACTTTTCATATTTGATAATTCTTGGGGAAGTTAGGAGAACTGAATCCTACATAGCACCTTATATCTTTAGGAGCCCAGTGGGGTTTCCCTTAAGTATTTGTTTGATGATTTTAGCAAAAATGTCTTCAGTGAAAGGTCAGAGGGCTCGGAAAAGTTGCTGAGTTGATGCCAGTCTGCTTTCCCAGCTGTCTTCCTACTAAGGACAGAAAAGTGGCCCGCACCGAATCCTCAACTGCCATTGCTCCAGTGATGAGAAACCAGCACTCAGAATATTTTCTGCGGACATGCAACATTTGATAACGGGAAAGAACCTCAAAACGCTGAGGTCATCTTCAGAATTGATTTGGTATCGGTCATATTACCTAGCAGTCCATACTTAGAAGAAGCAAAGTCAACTAAATTCAGATATACTCACTTTCCTTTCTTTTGCTGTAATAAACACGTGGCCAAACGCAGTTTAAGGAAAGAAAGGTATTGCTTTATTTTCCATTTCCTGTCCACAGTCCATCCTTAAGGAAAGTCAGGACAGGCACTTAAGCAGATACCATGGAAGAACAAAGCTTTCCAGCTTGTTCTCCAGTACTCAGGTACCCTTCTTCTATAGCCCAGACTCACCCACATAGACATGGTGCTGCCCACAGTGGGCTAATTTTTCCCCTGTCAATCTGCAGTCAAGACAGTCTCTCACAGAAATGACCAAAGGTTTATCCAATGTTGGTAGTTCCTTAAATGAGGCCACTTCTTCGCAGGTGACAGGAGGTTCTGTCCTACTGATTACAAAGATTAACCAGCTTATCTATGTGGCCTTCTGTATTACTGCACTATGGTTAATATTAATAACTCAATAACCAGCAAAAGAGGGGGCAGTAGTTCAAAATAATGTGTCACTGTCTGGTGAATTACAAAGTCTAATCCTTCAAAGAATTGACCTATAAGCAGTAAATGAAGAGATGATCTGTGTTTTATGTTTTGGCACAATTGTGATCCTGCTTTGGTGAAATTTTGAAGGTGGCAATCAGTTCTAACCCACTTTTATCCAAACATTTTTTTTTCTTCTTTTCAAATTACATATTGGTTAGTTGATGACTTCAAATGGAAAAGAGTGAGGTCATGCTCATTCTCCACGATTAATAATCCCTTATATCCCAACACTGTGTATAACTGCACCTCTGTGTACATATCTCTGAAATCTTTAACTCTAGCCTTGATATTTCTGTCAGGGTCCAGATACTGTCAGACATCTCTGCTCAATTGTTGGCCTGCCCTCTCAGTTTCAATGTGTGCAAAATTAAACTTCTATTCACCACTACACCCCTATCCCCAAACCTTCTCCTCTTCCCATCACAGTAAAAGCCTCATCATCCATCCACGGCTCATGCCTGGAAGTCATCCTTGACACCCACAGCATCCTGGACCAGAGTTGACAAATGATATCTTCACAGCATGTGAAAGCCTCATAATCTACAGTCTGGGAAACCAAAACATAACCTCCTAAACTAACCATCCCTGAAATAGATGTTTAATAGGCACATCAGTGTGATTCAGTGCCTGCTATTCTACCAGAAGATAAATTGACTCCTTTACCCCTTTACCTAGAGTATACACTAGGTCACTTGGAAAACAAACATCCAAAGAGAGGAGGTACAAATCTAATCAATGAGAATGAACTGCCCAAGCCTATGATTCTGGAATCATGGTTTTCTTGAGAATCTTGGGAGAAGCCTGGGATTAAAGAAATCATTACGGGATCCCAACTATCCAGGTTTAATTCATCAACACAAGTCTTCCTAGAGCCAAATCATTAAACTATTTCCTTTGCCTTTTGTCTATTTCTTTCACCTATAAGTGGGAAAAGAGATGAAGTGACAAACTGTCAAGAGGATTCTGAAAAAGTACAGAGGGATATAGACACTCAAAGACGAACAGTGTGTTCTAATGCAGAAGACCAACCATGGCCCCACCACATATTGCTAGGCAGTGAGAACACTTATTCACTGTTTGGGTTTTCCACCGATCTACATTTATACCTTCAGCAGCGTTGACCTCCTGGCAGGAATGGAGGTGCTTTACCCTCTCCAGAGTAAGATTTCCTTGGATGACAATGTTCCTGCTGAGAAGAGCCACAGTAGCATTCAAAATAGGATTCTTTCCAGCTACTCCATTCTCTGTGATGTTGTAAGAATATCTGAAAAAAAAGAAAGAACAAGAGTGGAAGATGCACTTGAGAACATCATTCTACATCTTATCAGAAATAGTAAATAGATTCTTCTTTGGGGAGTGTCTATTTCTTCAGAAACTCAAATACCCAAGAATGAGTCCTATATATATGTGTAAAACATATTGTGTACAGTATTGAGAATTACATACTGACCATGTTCCAAAGCAGAAATTCTAGGGTCCCACTAAAGAAAGCATTCAAGAAACCTTCATTTTCATAACATCCAAGCTTTATTATTTTGTTTTCCAGGTGTCTAGCACTATTTAACACTAACGTATCTCATCAAGAGATAAATGTCCAGAGGCCAATTTGTGCAGACCTCACCTTCCCCCACTGTAAACCTATCCAAGCTGAAATTTGAGTACCTCAAGGGAGTCCTGAGATGGAGTTGTGCATTGTGCACAGTTTCCACAACAACAACCTCTTCCATTGATCCGGTGCCCTCAACACTCATCCCACTGATGATGACAGCCTCATCCCCAGGGCGCCAGTCCACAGCTTCCTCCAGAAACAAAGTTGTGTCTCCTGCACACACAGTGGCTCGAAGATAGGTGACGGTCACTTCTGGAACTGCACCTAAAGTTGAGAGGAAACTTGTTTCAATACTTTAGTTGTTAATAAAAATAACATTTTATAGGAGGTGCTTGTACAAGCAGCCAAGGAGAGAGAAATGAGATGGAAAACATAGGAGCTGCCACTAGATAAAATTGACATGTGAGCTAATCTTAACATAGAGGAGTACATCGGGGGGGGGGGCTTCAGTTTTCTCAGTTACACCAAGAAGTAGACAAACTTCCAGCATGGGGTTTAGGATGATTTAATGAGATGCAGGTTAATGAAGTATCAAGGGCAGAGATCAGGGTTTACTCTTTCCTTCCCTATATCACTTTGTGTTTGGAAACATGAGCTTTTACTTCACTCTTATTTTAGAAGTGAGAAAGTAGGTGTTTCATTCTACTGTAGGAATCCATAATTCATTTACAACACAAAAAGGTTTAACCCACCCACAAATGCTGTGAGCAGAGTAGGTTGCTTTAGAAAAGTCATCCTAGGACTTTGTGTGTTTATTGATCCCTTTGAACTAAAACTGACTGCATCTGGAATCAGACTGTCAAGCAGCTGAAGCAGGAAGACTTGTGACTCGACATAGCTTAGTGTGCACAGCACTCGCATACCATGATCACACTCCCCATACCAAGCGCGTATGCCCTTAACTATCAAAGATTTAAGAACGTCATTTACTTCACCATTTACACTGGGATTTTCCAAGAGAGGTCAAGCCAAATTTTTAAAGGCATTATCTGAAGCGATAGTTGAGAAAATGCATTGCTTACTCCCCACTCCTTCCCCTTTTCCTCAGTTCATCCCCCTTCCTCCTCCGCAATAGATCATCATTTACCTTTAGCCCACAGCAAGTTGCTGTCCTCCCCGGCTGCACTGAAGTAAAGTAATAATACTTGAATTCCTAACTGCGGGGGTTGTCGACAATAAATCATTTTCAAATTATTTTAAACTTTCCTCTTTATTTATTTGTCTGTGTGTGCACAGACACTTGTACCAACCATGTTGTTCTAGGCTGAGAAAGGTCCTTGGGTTAATGGTGCAATTTCTGAAGTTTACCAAGGCAATAATTTTATCTTAAAAAACATTTACAGAGTTCAAAATTTCTAATTATAGGGCAGGTGGAAATTAAGGCATAAATCATCCCCAAAAGAAAATAATTTTAATTTTATTCCTTGTTTGTATATCTTAACCCTTGGGAATAAGAAAATGAAATAAAGTTTATTTATTTGTATATACATATGTGTGAATTTCTCTAACCTGTTCTTTATTGGCTACATACAAGGCTATGTATCAAAGATAGAACACGATCACATTGTGATGTTTGTTGCTTGTATCAAAAAGAACCAAAAGTGAAGACAACAAGGCATATTTCCCAGCTAATCATTTTTACAAGCAATGATCAAAGGCTGGAGAGATGGCTTAGTCATTAAAGACTAGGCTCACAACCAAAAATAAATAATGGTCAAGTCAAGATAAACAAAGAAACCCAGGGAATTTTAAAGTGCATATCTAACTATTGATATAAATTCATGTCCTTTCAAATATTGACAGTCTTTCCTTTTTGAAATTACAAAAATTATTGCAATTTTAAATTATAATTATAAATTTCCAGTTTTTGTGATATAATTATAAAAATAATCCTTTTACATAACAAAATAACATTGAGTTCATTTCATGTTGGTCATTTACTGGTGGCCAGGATTTCTACTCTTTAGTGAGGCTTGTATACCCAGAGAGATGCCATTGGAGAAAATATTTTTTAGCACATTGTTATCAATTGTTGATAGTTTTTGGGTTAGAAACAGGGACTGGCTTTCATGTTGGCTTTCAGCACTGGGCCCCATCTGACTTAGACTTGTATGGATTTTATGTATGCTTGCTGTGACACTAATATTTACTTAGTGTCTGGAAGACAGTTTTCTTGGTATCTCTCATACTCTTTGGCTCTTACAGTCTTTGCACCCCCTATTCCTCAGAGTTCCCTGAGGCCAGAAGGGAGGGATTTGATGGAGACATCCCATTAAGGGCTAAGCGTTCCAAGGTTGCTCACTCTCTATACTGTTGTGGGCCACTGTATTACTTTCTATATCCTCAGGAGGAAGCTTCTCTAATGATGGCTTAGTTAGGGTTTCTATTGCTGTGAAGAGACACCATGACCACAGCAATGTTTATAAAAGAAAACATTTAATTAAGGCTAGCAATTCAGAGGTTTAACCTACAGTATTGACAGTCTTTCAATGAAGCAAAATTACTTCATAACACTTACTTACAAAAGTATTCTCTCCGTGTATGACTAAGATATAAAACCAGGACACATTCTGAGTCCCAGCCTCTTACTTTCATCTACAGCAGATATCGACCTGTTTGTGAGCTACAATTATTCAGACTCAAGATGTCAGAATGATTATTACAGCAATCAATTAAGCTAGACCTTCTGCAGATTGATCTTCTAATAATTTCATCACATGATTATGAAAGATTTTGCTGAATCACTTTCAACCAATCTCTTTGCTGGCTCACCTGTGGTCCCTCTATCCAGATCCCATTAACAAAGCCCCAAACTCTTTCCTTTACTCCCTATTTCTCTCCCAGTAGACCCTGCTCTATAGTTTCTGACTTCGGAAGGACATTTTTATCCCAAGAAATTCATCTCCTAACCTGGTTTCATTTAATAGCATCATCTGCTCTCCCTTATTGTCAGCTCTATCCCCTGCGATTTTCCTAGCACCAACCCATCTGAAAGAGATCACTGCCTAACTTTTCCATGGAGTTTCAGAGAACACTTCAGCTACCTGCTACTCTTTAGCTCTTCCTACATACTCCTTAGAGTAACATAGGATATTTGATGGAGCAATTAGTGAGCACATCTGGGGTTTTTAACTCTGCATAATCAAAACTGAGTAGTGGGTAGCCCATTTATGTGAATTGTTTTGTACAAGAGAATGCAATAGTATAAAGGAGCAAATAAGAAAAACAAGGATTACAGTTATGACACAGCATGTCCCAGATCTGAGCCCTTCTCTACCCATATAGACTACACATATCCGTACTGAGCCTAAGATAAATATTAAAAGGCTCTCAAGAGCGTTTTATATCTTATGTTCTCCACCTGAGATTCTCTGGGGGACAACATGCTTTAGAGTGATTATTGTTGACCATAAAGCAAGACTCCAAGACATACTGGATATTTGAGCTCTGTGTAGTAATTTGTCACATTACTGATGTGGGATTGCCTTGTCCTCTGCATACCATTGGTTAACAAAGAATATGCTTTCAGCCAGTGCCTTAACAGAATATAGTCAGACTGGAAAAGATACAGAAAGAGTAGACGGAGTCAGTGAGATGCCACATAACTGCCAGAGGGGAAAGACGCAAGTCACCAGTTAGAACCTTGCCAGTAGGCCACAAACCTGGTGGTAAATATAAATAATAGGAATGGGTTAATTTAAGATGTAAGAGCTTGTTAGGAATATGCTAGAATCATTGGCCAAGCAGTGTTGTAATTAATACAGCTTCTGTGTGCATAGTTTGGGTCAGTGCAGCTGGGAAATAAACGAGTGGCCTCAGACTACACATTGCCACACTTCTCTTCTGTCTACTAGCACTTGACACAACTCTAGCTGGATCTCTAGTGCTGCAGTCTGAGTCTGTCTCACCCACTAAACACAGTAGCAAAAGCAATACATATTTTGTTCAATATAATAATACCAAGGTCATTCATAGTGTCTGGCACATAGTAGATGCTCAGAAAACATATACATGTGTGTATGAGTGTGTGTGTATGCACATAAACGTGTGTGATATACATGAATATGCTTGTGTATGTGTGTATATGTCACATATGACATATATGTCACACTACATTTAGTGTGTGGCGTCAATATAGCATGTGTGATATAGACATGCATATGTTTATAATATATGCATATGTATACTTTCAAATAAGACATAGGGAGGCAAGCACCTCAAATTTTGAATGTCTACTTTGAATGGCATAGGTTAGACTCTGTGCCATGAAAAGGGCATCACTATGCTTTATTGTGCAGCGAGTACTCTCCCACACCTTGGGGTTTGACTGGATGGGGAAAATGAAACCCTCCACCCTTGGACAGTTATGTCCAGTATTCTTAGGATAGCTAACAACAGCAGGGGTCTCTCACACTCCTGAATATAAAGCAATGACGAAGACATTCAAAGCAAGGGGAAACTGGCATGAAAGGTGCCGGATGGTGAGCACAGTCGACAAACTCGTTTGCTGGCTTCGCGTGCCGTTCATTACAAGTACACCCTTAAGCAGGTGGGAGCGTGGGAAAAAAAAAGCGCATGTTCTGAGAGATTGAGGAGGCAGCCAATACAATTTTTGTCATCACCAATGAAATATCTACAAGTTGATTAGATTCAAGGAGGCCTTGAGAAGCCAAGACAGTTACTAACCTGTAGCCAGTGCCATTTTTATCATCACTAAATCATTCTGTAGTTATTACAGCTGGTAGAACCTTACCACCCACATCGGCAGGTGGCACCATGGATGTACAGCTACTACTTTGTTTCGCATTTATGGATGTCCCATTCCAAACACAACTGGACACAGGGTTAGCATTCAATTCACAGTACCTAAAATATCTGTTCTAAATGCTGTCTTCTAAGCATTACTTATAAAGCACAGCAAACATATACGTGAGTGAACATGCTATATGCAATATATAACAAGCATAAAATAATACATTTATTGAAGAATTAGAACAATCCTTAATTTTCTTTCTCCTTGGGAATTTCAGCTGTCCGTTAGACACAGACCAGAGTTACAATTGGAGTCTCAATTGGAGGATTGCCTCCATTAGGTTGGCCTGTGGGTTTTCTTGTCATTGGTTGATTTGAGAGGGCCCAGTCCAATGTACATAGTTGCCAACCCTGAGCAGGTAATTCTTAGGCTGTATAAAAAGCAGACTGAGCACAAGTCAGAGGGAACAAGCCAGTAAGCAACATTCCTCTGTGGTCTCTGGGTCAGTCCC